ATCCGGTGAAGCCATCGATTTTAGTAATCTCTTCATCAATTTCGCTATGTAACCAGGTCTCTTGTAATAGAATTGCGCTCAACTTAGCACATTCTATACGACGCAAGAGATCAGATAAATCTGGTAATTTTCCAAGCATCGAACGTACGTTGTTGCTGATAATGATGGATAAAGCTCTTTGATGCAGTGCTTCTCTCCAACCACCTCGATGCTTCCTCCAATGTCCGCGAGATTTTCTGCGAATCCTTTTGTATTTATTTCTCACTGATTTTCCGAATTCAAGTACTTCAGGAGGTAAACTAGAGTTCTTGATGCTTATCATGAAGGCGTTATGAAATATCGCGACTGGCCTCATCGCAATTGCACAATATGTCTATGGAAACGACCCACAAAGTTAAATGATGTATAGAAACAACGGGAATGAAAAGAGAAAGAGGGAGGGTAGACAGAGAAACTGCGTTATTGAAAGGTGGGCTATACTGAGTACGCCAGATAAGGATATCCCCAATGGTAACATGATATGGTGGCTCTGTAGTGTCCTGCTTAGTTTCCTGTGTTGAAATCAGTGGTACTTTGCAACTACTAGGCCCAAACTTTATGCCTAAAACGTCTATCAAATTAGTCTTCCGCCTTTGGTAGTCAGTGACCAATGAAACATGAAATATTATGGTGCCTTAACTCGCTCCAAGCAGCGTATCGATGGTGTTTCAATCCTTCTGGTTAGGAACTCTATTCCTACGTTTTGTTTTGGCCCTCAGGTGTTTATTTGCTGCGGCTTAGATCACTGCTCATTTATTTTTCTCGTATTAGATCTTCGCCATTAGGCTTAATAAACTCAGTGAGTACCATATCACAGAATCTGGTGAATGATTATCTACAGGCAGCTCACTTTTTCAGGTGATTTTCGAGGTGCTTGTTTTCATTCCATTGAAAGACTCATGCTAGATTCAGATTGGTTATTCTTGTTTTGAGAAAGTGGATAAAAAAAGCAGACAGGAGAGAGAAGTTGTTTCACATTGGTATGTTCAGGGAAGGGAAACGAAACCGTAAGAGATATAGAAACCAATGCTGGTTTAGACTCTGATCAACTGTTTGAGCTCTATAGCGGTGACGAAGTGTCAGGTCGATAAGTGCAAATGAGGCCAGCCCGAATATCGATATTGATCATTAGGTTAAAGACGCTATCACCCCGGTGATGGGCTGTTCACTGCTTGATGGACGTTTGGGACGGTCATCAATAAGGCCAACTGCCTGGCCGATTGGCTGAGCACAACAATGGATGACTATCGCAATTACACAGTCGGAACCCTACGTGTCAGTTAGATTGTGTGTGCCACTTATTATATACAGCACCCTCCCCCCTGCATTTTTTTACAGTAATTTTTATCGTTATCTCGTTGTATTACAGTAACTGCCACCGTTTCCTCGTCTTCGTTGTCCTCCTCATCCTCAATTTCTCACATTTTATCTTACAGGCGGAATTCTTACGTATATACCGGCTATCGTGCGTGGACTGCAAACTGGAAGAGTCACCGCGTTGTCTTTTGTGGTGGTTTGTCTCTCTCCCCGTGGAACGCTTACACAAGACTGCCCAATCCATGTTGCGCTATCAGCTGGAAGAACGTGTCACTAATCTCAATCAGCGTTTGGCCGCCACATCGGCTTCCGATTCTCAGGCTGTTATATTTCATAGCATTGACGCGGTAGGTAACTTTCTGGTAGTGGGATGAGAAACTTCCAAGGTTGTATTGCTGTTCCAATTTCCAGGACACTCAGTTCATCGTTTGGCCATTGCAGTACTTACAAGCTATTCTTAGACAATTGGAGAGTTGACCCGCCTATTCAGGGTCATTTTCATTCATTACTCTTGCCCGTTGGTGGATAAATTGAAAAATACATTTTCCCGGCTTTCAAATTTATTGATCTTTCTGATGAAGCACGACCATCATTTTCCGGTACCAATACAGTAGTGAGGTACCATGCTTAATTGTGAAAGTTCTGTTGCTAAACCCTCAGTGGAAAGAAAAGCTAATGAGAAACAAAAAGATGTCTGAAGAAAATATCGTTTGATTCACTAGAGGCCATGCGGTATTGCGTAGACTGCCTGCTTCCATTCTGAGCACATCTTTCATCCCTACTCTGTTCGTTAATTAGGAACATTTCACTGGCGGGAAAACGACCAATCCCGTTTCAGATGCAGAACGACCGTTTCGGTCTAACCGCCCCTTGCAACACTTAGTTGTTCAGTTGTAACGGAAAATTATATTGCAGTTCAGAAGCGAAACGCATTGAACCCCAGGGGCTATAATACTTTATCAGACTTTTTCTATTTGTCATCATACCTTCTTTTGAATAAGAGCTGAGCAAAACGAAGTTGATATTTCAGCTTTTCACTTGATCGCTACTCAAAAATAAACATTGTGATTCGTTAGCAAGTGAAAATACTGCAAAAGCCTAAGGGAGTGCGAAATTTCCCCTTTATTCCCAATGTTTCTGTGTGTCTCTCCTAAAGTCGGTTCTTCGCGTTGCATCTTTCCTCTGCATTGTTTGTTGTTTTTCTCCGTTCAGGCAGTGACACTGTTCCTGGTGGACAGAATGCCCATGCAGTGGCGTGAATCCAACGCGGAGCGACTCGCTCAACTCACGTCAAACGCTATTCTAAAACAGCAGACATTGATGAATTCGGCTTTGGCGTTCCCATGTGCTTCTTGGCTCTCGTGTGCTATACGGCGCCCAATCTGCACACTAATTGGTCATCTATCCACGTGGAATCCGCATTTGACCCGGTTCAGCCTTAACAACCCCGGCACGAATTCATCCTCTCAAATGCTTCAGGTTAGTTAATTTCGGGGCAACATCCCACTTGCTTTTATTCCGCTCTCTGATCTTCACAAGTAGTCCAATGAACCTGAAATAGAGGGAAGATGGTGATCCTCTTAGTGGTAAAGACCTACTGTTCTTTTGTGGAAATTGGGAGGCTTAGCCCCACGACTTGGAGTAGCGAGATAGAGAGAAGTCTTATACGAACCCGTCCATCTACTTCGGTTCCTCGTATATCCAGCTTTGAAAAGCACACCCACCATGCGAATAATTGAATAATCAATTGGCGGTTCTTTATTCGTTATTCACTGAGTTAAGCAATGCACTGCTGAAGCACCTTGGTAATGCTTACCGTTCATAGTGCTCTTTTTTTAGTTAGGTGTCGTTTTTGAAAATAACGATCAGCCGCAATATCATTGTTATTCGGAGTAGGTCGGTTCCATGAACATGATCGCTTGTGATTATTTCGGCTTGCGGACACAGCCCTGTTTCAGGAGTTCCCTCAATCCCGATGAATAAATGAGCTCCTGAACGACTTCATTCCTTAGGGAAGATAGCGGCACCCACTGGCCAGATTATTCGCAAATTATCACACCTATCATATTACTCCCAGCTTCCGAAAGTATCAGAATGGTTGGGGATGAGTGTTGTGATCAGTCGCTACACCCTCCCGAACCGCTCCTAATTGACTAAGCGTTTCTAATGGTCTCCGCGGAGAAAGCACTACTCATGGCGTTCACGCGACAGTGAGAACACAAAAGGTCAACAAATGGGGTTAAGGCTGCATCTGTAAACTACTGACAGTTCACCTGGGAAAGTCTATGAAAACCTCGATTCATGTTCATTCATGACGAGGCTTACGAACCATATCTACTTCTTCCTGGTTGTGGTAGCGGTTATCTGCTTGATTGGGTGTGTGATCTGATGAACTAGACTCCGGCTCTCAATGGTTTTCACACCCATACCATGCACACGGTGCTACCTTTCCAATTTGTTGGTAGAGCCTTCACTGTCTTAAGGCTTAAAATCACGGATGTCCTATATTGGTTCTCATTTGCTTCGTTAATCCAAGCGCAGGTCAACGGATAGAAGCCAGAAGAAGATCAGTCTCACAAGACCAGCTGCTTGGGCACCTCCTGGATTCCTTTTCTATACACACCCGCCCCTGGATAGGTCACTACACCAAAAAAACCGATTGAAAAAAACCGCTAGATGGACGTAGGAGCGCGGTACCTGGGGCTCACTCTCGAGAGAGAAGAAGAGAGGAGAAGTCTTCGCACTTCACTGAACAGCCACCGCCCGTCCAAGCTGGGCAGTCCCCAGTCAATAAAGTGATGTCCCGTCCACGTTCCGTTTGTCTCATTGGGTGCATAAGACCAAGGGTCGATCCCGAAAAGCGAACCGTCAACCAACGCACCAGCGAACAACACACTGAACCGAAACCCGAAGGTCTTGCGTGACAGGTCTCTAGAAGCTCCCACGCGGGTGTTTTCGTCACGCTCCCCACAGCCATGTAGGTCAGACTTTTGGGTCAAAGGCTCAGATTAGGGTTCCCAAAGAAAAACCCCTTCGTCGGTGTGGGCTACCGTGAAGTATGTCGTGCCCTAAACACTTAGGCACCCATGTGGAAAACCCTCCTTTCCATCTGTCTAGTTCTTCTCAATCCCAAATAATCTCAAAAGCCTGCTGTTTACACGACCCAACGTATACCACTCAGCGCTTTACCAACAAGTCTAAATAATCAAAAACTACAGGACTTTTGAGGAAGAAATTCCCTTTCCACGTTCAATGTGCGCATACTCTATCAGATCGATCAACAAGCTGTCTTAGCTAGAACCCTTTAAACTTCGATTGAGATGAATGCTGTGTCTTTGAAACACGCATACAAGACCGCACATCGATTATCTCTCTGCATTCTCTTGATCCATCCTCAACTTCACGCTTCACCGTTCGTATGTTAGGCGATTCGGCATCCGAAGCTCGCGGTGTTGCTGGTGTTGGGATTGCGCTAAGTGCCAAGGCTGAGCGCTCGCTTCTTGACTGGATTCCAGNTGACTGGATTCCAGTCAGTAGCCGACTGTGCGCCGTACGGCTCAATGGTTCAGCGCGGGTCAACAGCCACAGAACGAAGCGTCTATGTCTATTCGCCGTGTCGGTGTATGCACCGACCGATTGCAGTACACCTGAAATCAAGGACCTTTCTCGGTTACTCTAAAGCATTCGATCAACGGACATCGTGGTATTCACCGGAGACTTCAAAGATCCCTGGACGAAGCGGAAAGGCTTCTTGATGGAACACATGCAATCCCAGCCAAACGGACACACAACCGTGATCGCCTACTTCAACTCTGTGCGGACCACGGATGGTTCTTGTCAAACACCAACTTCTCGTACAAGAAACGACACCACCTTACATGGAAACCGCCAACCTCTTCACAGCGCTGGATCCAAATCAATCACATCGCCATCCGTTACCGCTGAAGGGGGAAATATGCGTAAGTGAGGTAATTGAGGAATCCGATGGCACGCTGGTTCGCCATCAGCAACGGTGTCTTCACCATTGTGCTCAACATTTCGAGGCTCAGTTCAACTGGCGCCCATCGACATCTGAACTATCACCGTCAACCGCGACTGCGCAAATTCTGCCAGTCGATGCCAGTCCTTCATCTCAAATGGAGGTTTCCCGGGATGTAAGCTATCTCAAAGGGCATAAGGCCTCCGGTCCAGACGGGCTCTCCCCATCCGCTTTTAAGGATGGAGGTTTTTGTCAATGGTTACGTAGTTGATGCATCTCCGGGGCTCAGTGTGGGAGAGAGAAGAGGTGCCAACTGAACACCGCGAGTCGGTGATCATACCGATTTACAAGATAGGTGACGGAACCTCCTCTAAAACCACAGAGGAATAAGCTTCTTCAACAGCACCTCTAAACTTCTTGCTGGCTTCATACTCCGTCGATTTTCTGCCGCACGTGAACAGTTCATGCGTGAGGACCAGGCTGGTTTGAGAACTGGTCGAGGTTGTATCGACCACATCTTCACTCTTCGTCAAACTCTAGAACACAGACACTCCTTTTTCGTAGATCCAACATCTCTGTCTTCCTAGATCTGAAAGCGGCTTTCGACTCAGTCGACCGCTCTAAACTCTGGCACTGCCTTTCTCTGAAAGGTGTGCCCGAAAAGTCTATTTCAATATTACGATCGCTTTATACTAATAGACGAAGCCGAGTCCGAGCTTACGACACATTTTCACCCAAGTTCACCACGGAAAGTGGTGCTCGACAGGGTTGCCCTCTCTCCGTTTCTACTTAACTTCGTGATGGATTAAATACTTCTCTCGTGCGAGGATAGTGGTATCGATTAACTCCCAAGTGGCTGTCTGTCTGATCTAGAATATGCAGACGACATTGTGCTACTAAGTGAAGATCCAGATGAGTTGCAAGCTTTTGTGGATAACTTGAATGCCAGTGTAGCCAGGTTCGGCATACGTTTTGCACATTTAAAGTGTAAGATGTCACTTCAAGACTGGATTGGTCCAGCATTCAGCCTCACTCTAATCGAGGAAGTAATAGAGCAAGTTGATGAGTTTTGTTATCTGGGCGGCTACATCTCACCTGGTGGACGCATCACGAATGAAGTGTCAGCTCGCATACGGAAGGCTCGGTTGGCCCACTGGAGCAATTGGTCGATCTCCATAGATTGCGCTGGTTGGGGAATGTGTTACGCATGTCACCAAATAGGTTACCACGGCGAGCGATGTTTGCCGAGGCAGGTAGTAGGTGGAATATAGCCAAGAGTGTTCCAGTTAAGACTTGGCATGAGGGCATGAAAACCCTAACCAGGAGTCTGGGTCCTACAGGTCCCGTTAGGCTCTCGGGATGATCGTAACCGATGGTTAGAGACACTGAGTGATATAGCTGGGTGTCATAAGCAGTGGCGTTCGTGCATCTTCTCAATTTCTCTACATCATCAGTTCACTTTTTCTCTCAATTTTTTTTCCATCCTAGTTCCAAGTATCTGGGTTTTCTCCTGTTTTTCACCCAAATGGGCAGCCAAAAGCGTCGCACCGAAATGCATGCTTAATGGTTGTTTAAACTGAACTAAACTGAAAATAGGCTGACCGACTTCGAATGAGGCGCATCCGGGTAGTCCTTTCGGACTAGATTACTGTGGTTCGGAAAACGGGGAATGGCTGTTGGCTCTATGTTCCTACCAACGCATATTCTTCGCCAGTACGAGCTTCGGACGAACCAACGCCGGTGAGCTACTTGGCGTCCGCCCTCCTCGGGTCAGAAACGGACGCAGATCGATCACACCACCATAAGCCACAAATGGTGGGTTTGCACACAAGACTGCTGACCGTAGTGGAGCACGTTCCTCGAACTCGACCACGTATTAGTATGCGCTAAGCTGTCCATGTGCTTCGTTGGGCGTTCTAAACAGACAACACGTTGGTTCGACAGTGATAAGCTGTCTAAACCAGCTTGTGTTTTCCGTAACGAGCTAGCTGAAAACCTGGAACAAACCCCACGCGATAACATCAATAAGTACTGGTCGTTCATTTATCGGGTGGTTTAGTTAGTTGTGGTCTGACACGTCGTGGAGGGACTCCCTACAATTCGGCACAGCCTCTACAGATTCTTGAAGCACTTCGGTCAATTCCGACTGGCAGCGAGCACAATAAAACACGACTCGAGACGAGACGTGAACTTACCGCAAGTCTATTCAGAGATCACGAGATCTGATGGACTCAAAGCGCAACAGAGATCGAAAGTGCAGCCGCTATGGGAAATTCCCGTAAGCTGTTCTATCTCATCCGGGTCACCGGAAGAAAACTTTTGAGAGTGAGCGAAACGATCTGTGCAGCTCGCTTATCCACGATCAAAAGCGACGTCTTGAACGATGGGTGGGGCACTTCAAAGCACAGTTTAGCTGGCCATCAGCGTCCGCATCTCGCATAGTTATTCGTGCAAACATCCCTTGGTCTGTTTCAAAAGACCCACCTTCTAAGGTAAAGATATCCATGAC